ATCAGGTATTGATCAACGTTGGGTGGTCTTATGGATAACACAATGACATGATCAGGTATTGATCAACGTTGGGTGGTCTTATGGATAACACAATGACATGATCAGGTATTGATCAACGTTGGGTGGTCTTATTGGTTTTGCCGGTCAACACTGGACCGTTGTTATTATATTTAAAACATTGAAGGAATTTTGAAAAGTGTCAAGCTTGGAATACAGATATATACATATAAATAGATGGGTGTGTGTGTGTGTGTGTGTGTATGTGTGCGTGTGTGCGTGTGTGCGTGTGTGTGTGTGTGTGTGTGTGCGTGTGTGCGTGTGTGTGTGTGTGTGTGTGTATGTGTGTGTATGTGTGTGTGTGTGCAAATAAACATATGGTATGCACATGTCTTGCCAGCACATGAATTACATCTTTTAATTTAAACGCCAACACATAAATAATTCCGATTGTTTGAATGTAAATACAATGTCAATCAAGTTGAAGCCAATAGCAGGCGTTAGCAAAATCAATAGGTAATTAAGATTCAAATTGAAATCAGTGCATGTAAGCTTAAGGGTGTCATTATCTGGGCTATGAATTATATTCAGGTATGTCATCGGATGAAATTGATGGGCTAGATCCCGTTTCAAAGAACACGATAAAGGCGTCCAAGGCAGACCCGCAGACCGCACATACAATACTCTCCAAACATCTCATTAGGAGAGACCAACAAACTACTACACACATTTTAGGTGGTGTAAGTAGCTTTGTAAGTCAGGATTTGTACTCGGTGGAATTGATTGTTGTAGGTAATCGAACTCGCTCTGTCAGGGTCATCTGTGAGTTAGGTGAATTTACACGATCTTGGATTTTTATATTTAAATATTTTTTAGAAGTAGAAAGTTTTTTCGTACATTTCTTTAGCTTTTTTTTTTTTTTCTCAAAACTTTACATAATTTGGTTTCTTACCAAAAAAAAATAGAAAACATATAAAGACATTTTTTAAAATTAGATTAATTAATTTAAATATAAACCGAGGACTGAAAAATTTCTAGTTTTTAAAAAAAAATAATTTGTAGTGCTTTCAAGACTTCTCCATCACTTTAAATATCAAAGCCATCTGCTGGGTATGAAGATCTTGACCATTCTTATCTGTGTTTATGGTAAGCTTTTTGATTCCTTCGTTATTTATATTTAGAATATAAACACATGATTTATTACGGTGGTCATCAACATGTTTTGAGTGATCAGGCAAATTGATTATTTTTTTATGTAGGGTAATGAAAAGTACACATTATTATAGAATGTAAGTTTGGAATAATAAATAGGTTAGTTTCAAAAGACTGGGTCTAAAATATATAAAACTATTTTAACTACACATAAATAAAAGATGTCTCACTATACATAAATAAAACATGTCTCACTACACATAAATAAAAGATGTCTCACTACACATAAATAAAACATGTCTCACTATACATAAATAAAACATGTCTAACTACACATAAATAAAACATGTCTCACTACACATCAATGAAACATGTCTAACTACACATAAATGAAACATTATGCCTAACTACACATAAATACAAGATGTTTAACTACACATAAATAAAACAAGTCTAACTACACATAAATAAAAAAGTCTAACATCACATAAATAACACATGTCTAACTACACATAAATAACACATGTCTAACTACACATAAATAACACATGTCTAACTACACATAAATAACACATGTCTAACTACACATAAATAACACATGTCTAACTACATATAAATAACACATGTCTAACTACACATAAATAAAACATGTCTCACTACACATAAATAAAACATGTCTAACTACACATAAATGAAACATTATGCCTAACTACACATAAATACAAGATGTTTAACTACACATAAATAACACAAGTCTAACTACACATAAATAAAAAAGTCTAACATCACATAAATAACACATGTCTAACTACACATAAATAACACATGTCTAACTACACATAAATAGCACATGTCTAACTACACATAAATAACACATGTCTAACTACACATAAATAACACATGTCTAACTACACATAAATAGACGAGGGTAATGGTGTCGTCTATAACCTTTTTAAATAAATTACCTTGATCACTTTTCAAATCGATCCATTTTTTCCTTGTTCCCCATTGCAAGTTACGGAAGGAAAGCTTAAACATGTCGACAAGAGAATTGTGAAGGGCAAGCATGTCTACAATAGTGACAAATATCCAAGCATCGCTTCCTTACAAGTCCAATATGATTTAGACAGCCCGTGGGAGCATAAGTGTGGTGCTGTGCTCATAGGCCAGTCGAAGGTGAGCACTGATACAAGTCCAATATGATTTAGACAGCCCGTGGGAGCATAAGTGTGGTGCTGTGCTCATAGGCCAGTCGAAGGTGAGCACTGATACAAGTCCAATATGATTTAGACAGCCCGTGGGAGCATAAGTGTGGTGCTGTGCTCATAGGCCAGTCGAAGGTGAGCACTGATACAAGTCCAATATGATTTAGACAGCCCGTGGGAGCATAAATGTAGTGCTGTGCTCATAGGCCAGTCGAAGGTGAGCACTGTGGGGCATGGCTTGCATGAAGAAGTTGTGTTGAAAGCTTTCATATTAGATTGTATTGTGAGTAGAAATGTTTTACACAGTGCATGAGGAGTATTGCATTGAAAAGTCCACACCCTAAAGCACCCATACTATGAAATCGTTAGACAAATCTTTTAACCACTGGATCAACATTAAACGTCAATTATTTTTCCTTAAAAATGGCTTAATTAAAAAAAAAAAACACTATTTGACAGTTCAATATGCTTTGTATAATTAAGTTTAAAACAAAAAATATTTTGCATTAAAATATTGGCTGTGTTCGCTTTCAAAATTAAAAAAAATTAATTTCATAATTTAATTGCTGTGCAATTACAATGGTGGCAACGATGAGTTTTGTATTTCCTGTCCTTTTTAAAGTTAAAAATGAGCTAAGCTTCTTAAGTTAACAGGGAAAATGTATTTTGATGATATATATATATATATATGTATCTAGTTTCTGGTCGCTTGAACTCCTTCCAGCTGCTGACGGCTGCCCACTGTCTGGTCAACACGCTGTTCCTGAAGAAGCGGGTCATCCTTGGCGTCCTGAACATCCAACCCGACCTCCACGCCTACGACCAGGTTCACGAGGTCAGCAGGTTTAAGATACACCACGACTACGAGGAGGCCTCCTCCAGGACCTACATCCATGACATCGCCATACTTTACCTTAACACGAGAGTCAAGTTCACCAAGAAAGTGAAGGTATACCGGCACTCACCAAAGTTATAACTAGAGTTCACCAACATTAGTATACTTTAATATGATCTCCCTTAACAATATGATCTTTCATGTTAGTTTTGAATAACATCCGGTCTACTTATAATGAGCTCAGGTGGGATGTTATTCTCTTTGTGTCTTTAATGATTTTGCTGATGACGTCACTCAGTCGAAACGTCTTTGTGGTGTCCTGTCAGGCTCTCCCATTATATCTTGTCCTCACTAGTTTAGTTAATCCACGTGAACAGTCTCTACTTTATCATGATTTAATTTAAATCATTAAATCAAGCAATGGAGAAGGACGTATCCCAAAGAGTCTGCTGTATGGAGAGTTGGCAGAGGGGACAAGACATATTGGACCACCGCGCCTGAGATTTATTGATGTTTGCAAACGAAGCATGAGGGAAGCCAATATTGAAACAAACGAATGGGAGTTCATTGCCGAACATCACGCCAACTGGCGAACAGGAGTGTTTGAAGGAGTAAAAAAAGGCAGAAAATACTCGTAACGAGGCCCTTGAATCAAAAAGAACAATTCGGAAATCAAGAATTTACCGGGATTCAATATTCTCCTGCGAGAGATGCGGCCGTGATTGCCTTTCAAGGATTGACCTAGTGAGCCACCCATCAAAGTGTAGAACTATATAGCTACTCCATCGTCTCACGAAGACGGAAGGATACCATATAATAAATCTAGCAAGTTATTGTTGAGGTTATAGATTTCAAGTTGAATTAAATACAATGTCTTTGTTGTTGTTTTTTTTTTCTATTCAATATTCAGGTAAAAATAGAATCTGAAGACATCGTCGCAGTTCTGTTAAGCATTAAACATTTATAAACAATTTTTTGAATGCTAAATGTCCTAATGCCTTTCAATACTAAATGTTCCAATGTCTTTCAATACTTCATGCTCTAAAGCCTTTCCATCTAACAGCCGGCATTGCTGGCTCCGAAAGGTAAGTATTTAGAAGACACCAAATGTGCAGTCGCTGGTTGGGGCACCGGAAGTAGTTTCAGTGACTTCTCCAATCAGCTGAGGGAAGCCACTGTTACGGTGATCAGCAACGAATTCTGCAAGACCTTCTACAGAAGGCTCTACATCCTGCCCACAAACATGTGTCTGTTCAATAACTTTGGTAAGAAAACAGTGGTGATGCATTCCACTTAAAAGATTCTAGCTACCACAAAATCTATTTCAAACTTAACTGTCAATAAATATTGATAACATTTAAAATGTGACATTTGTCCGGAAAAAGGAATTGGAGCCTTCTACGGATCCTCCAGCTAGACATCCAAATTGCAACTCAAAATTTTATCTTTTATTATTTATTTTCAAAAACATGATTTGAACATTTAAAAAAAAAAATATGTGAAAATTTCGTAACGAAGTTAGAGAATTCATGTTGTGCCTACTTGCCACGGATTAGAGACCACCAGTATGTGGTCAGTGTTCTTTATTTGTGCGTTGAAGTTTTCTGGCCACCACGTGGTGTCATAATAATGAGGGGTAATAATACTGTCTTGAAGTAGGTAGCTCTAAAACTGTGCATTTTGTTCGTGCATTTATTTAAGGCATTTATTTGATTCCATCCACTTTGTCTGTGGAAAATTCAGTTATTCAGAAATCTTTCATGATTCTCTCTCGCATGTCACCACATTTGAAATGATGGACTTTCCACTTGACGCCATGAGAAGATGACGACAATGACCGGCCTGGCACTTGTGATGGTGATGACGGAGGGCCTGCCATGTGTGGGAAGAACTTTCAACTTCTTGCAGGGATCACGTCATGGGGAAAGGAATGTGGTAATTACGGCTTCTTTTCTCGTGGTGCTGATGATGGCTTGTTTATCAGGACTTTGTGGTTCAGACCTGACTTCGGATCCCTAAGAATAGCCCTAGATATAAGGAGAACCAAAGACAGCGGTACTTTAGAACATATCTTATACGACGATTTGTGTGTTAAAACTGACAGGGGGCTTGACTTGATTTGGAAAAGGTTCAATAAGTATTCTCACTTTTAAGATTTTTTTTTAAAATGTCAATTTTTTGACTGGCATTTTATCACCTCGACACCCCCGAATTCAATCTGCTAAAAATGTCGGAACTTTCCAATGTCTCTTCATGGGTCTAAACTTATGAGCGACCCTCTTGCTGCTTCAGACTTTTAAATGTATAACTAAGCAATGGAAAGTGTGTGTGGAAATAAGAATAGTTTTACTACGTCATTAACGGACAAAGAATCAAGCCTCGTTTAAATTTTCTCTACTTTATTTTGTAAAATACGTTTTGGCAAAATTCGCACACCGAGACAGCCATTGTCTATTTATTGGTTTTCTAAGTAATTTTTTAACATGCCAGAATATTTTTTTTAAACCGCATTTCATTTAAATTATTCTCAACTAGCTAAGTTCATGTCTGTGCAGAAAATATTAAATTTGTATTCGAACTTTTCAGCTACATAGAGTGATTGTCCACACTTGTAAACATGATTTATTTGCTTAATGCATTATTAGAAGTTTTACATTATTTTCTACTTTTAATTTAATTTTTTTTTCTAGATTGCGAAAAGAAAAATTTGTAATTTATATTTCTTTGTTATTAAAGATTCTCTTCCTAATGTGTACGTCCGAGTGTCTGAGTACTATGACTGGATACAGGCAAACTAATCTGTGGATACAGGCTGACTTATCCCTTGCTAGTAGTGTGCACTGAATTTTTTTTTTCACTGTATCTATATGTAGTTCATTGTGTCTGTTGAGCTGAGTTTATTTGAGATAAACGGTAACACTATTAAATAATGTTGAAATGGGTTCGTTTTTTTTTTTATTTGTGCTGTTTAAAATTACTGTCACATTTTTATTTCTGCTTTTGTTTGCCTGCCTCCGTCCGTCTCACTGAGCATTGACAAAATCACAAGGCCTGGAATATTGTCAAAGAGTGCAAATATGTGGATGATCCACCTATGCCTAACCAGAGTCTACTTTATTTTTTCGGATAGTCCCCTTTCGTTTAAGGGTTGTAGCTCCAGGTCGATGGGGGCTAGCAATCACAGTCCCATCCACTTGGGACTTGGTGGTGTGCCAGTTCTGTGTTCTGATATTGACAAATTTGATCCACCAACCACCCCGGTATAAATGTTTTTAATCTGATTAATTATGTTGGGTCCTATGGGTCCTATGGGTCCTAAGTTATTTTCGTTTTGCTTTTAAAATAAAAGGTAGGGCCCGTCCGGGATTTGAACCCGGGACCTCTCGCACCCAAAGCGAGAATCATACCCCTAGACCAACGAGCCGTTAGAGTTATTCATGAACAGTCATTTTTCAAAAATAAAATGTATATAAAAAGGGATTATTTCGATACAGCTTGACGCCTGCTATTGATCCGGCTACAGCTGTTAAGTCTCCCTGTATTCGCAATACAGCTTACTTAACCCTATGACCTCGTATTTTGTCGTAAGATCTATACTTTACCGTTCCATTTTAAGATGGGAATGATACGTAATTATAAATAACCTTCGATTGATTACTTAATTTCAGCTAAAATGAATTTTTCTTAGTTCAAAATTCTTGGAAATCAGCGATTGGATCTCAATATTTAAACTATTTAAGTTAAAATTTACATGACAACGTATTTTGTTACGACCCATCTGTGCTGTCGGTTGATTAAAGGAGAAGCGAAGGTGGAATTATTTATAGAAACATAAATTATTTCCTCTTATTGAAACAGTCTACTTAGATATATATATATATATATGTGTGTGTGTGTATAATAATATATATATACGTATATAATAATATATATAATATATTTCTTTATTTTTTTTAATTTTTAAATTTAAACATTATAGTCCCGATTCATCCATTTAAGAAAACTATTTTATAAATTACGAAATTGCAAAGAAAATATTTTTTTTTCAAAACAACAGTGGAATTATCATTGAAAAGGTAAATATTTATTGCCTTAAAGGACTTTAAGCTATTCATGAGCGTATGCTGGGCTGCCGTCACTGGAAAAGCAAGGGTCAGTGCCAACCAGGGCAGTTTAAGATTTTTGTCAGCACTCTTCCAAGAAATAAACTCTTCATTTGGCCTAAAATGCCACGTCCTACGTCAGTGACTGCCGTTAACTTATGTCATGTCATATCACGCTCTACGCCAGTGACTGTCGTTAACCTATGCAGGTGATATGACATCCTACGCCAGTGACTGCCATTAATCTATTGCATGTCATATCACGTCCTACGCCACTGACTACTATTAACCTATGGCATGTCATATCACGTCCTACGCCACTGACTACTATTAACCTATTGCATGTCATATCACGTCCTACGCCACTGACTACTATTAACCTATGGCATGTCATATCACGTCCTGCGCCAGTGACAGCCATTAACCTATGGCATGTCATATCACGTCCTGCGCCAGTGACAGCCATTAACCTGTGGCAGGTCATATCACGTCCTGCGCCAGTGACAGCCATTAACCTGTGGCAGGTCATCTTGTCTTATTGTGACAGGTAAATCCTGTCACTGCCATACCGGCGATTGTTTCTCCCATTTATTTCATTGATTATGTTTTTTTTTTTTTTCTTTCTTTTTTTTTGTGTGGGTGGTGGGGGGGTAGGGGTGGGGTTGGGTGTCGGGGTTAAAGAAAAAATGCCAGGATTGCGAAATAGTCAAAGACCCTTTTATTTCTTTTATTATGTTTTTTTTTTTTTTTCTTTCTTTTTTTTTTGTGTGGGTGGTGGGGGAGTAGGGGTGGGGTTGGGTGACGGTGTTAAAGAAAAAATGCCAGGATTACGAAATAGTCAAAGAAATAAAATTTACTTTTAAGCTTATCCAATACGCAGTTCCAAAGTGGTGTTCAGTATTGACAATGTGGGCTGAAAGTAAAACTCGGGACTCGTAGCAGAACACAATTACCTTTTATATGAGATCGTATGACTAAAATAATGGTAACTTTCTGCCTTCTCTTGCATACCTTCTCAGTCACTTGTATATTTTCAACATGCGTTTCTTATAAATGGTTTTGTGTGTGTCCCAAAAAAATTTCTTAGAAAGCTATCTAATTCTAAACGACAACTACATTGTTAACAAAAACTGGCTCTTAATCATGCTGCAGATCACTTTTGGTAGATGTCAATTTTGTAGAAAGATAACACTAGCAACTTTCTGCCTTGTATTAATTCTAGAGTGATATGAATGAGTAAAGTGAGTGGTGACAGAGAGCACAATGTGTTGATGGAAGTGATAAATATGGATTTTCTGACACGTGCCTATTTGAAATGTATTTCAATTATATTTAATAATAAAATGATAGGGCCCGTCCGGGATTTGAACCCGGGACCTCTCGCACCCAAAGCGAGAATCATACCCCTAGACCAACGAGCCGTTATTACTACCTATGAATTTTTATTTTTGAAAAAAAAAATTTTAATGGGATTATTTCTACTCAGCTTGAAGTCTCTTATTAATCCGGTTACAGCTGTTGAGTTAAGCCTCTTCTGTATTTGCCCAGCAGCTTGCTCACCACCATGACCTCTTAGTTAAAGAAATTCAATCTTTCAAAAATCAATGCGTTGTTAAGTACATTTAGATAAAGATGGGACATTGAAACGTCATAACATGGGAATGGCTGTGATGACATAATGAGCATGCTAAAATAGCAGGGGCAGATGCGTTATACAAGTAATCAACCTCCCTCGAAAAAATGGAAATTTTATTTCGTATTGAACTGATATTTTAAACAAGTGTGTGAATCTCAGAATTTCAGCATTCTAATTCAATTCCATATTCGAAACCCGTTGGTTAACATCATTCATCGCTTTGTGGTAGATTTGTATCAAAGAAACAAATGACTATGACTAAAATATGACCATTTGACATCTTGAGCAAGAAACCAATTTTTAAATCAGATACATTTTCCCCAATATTTATTTCAGTTACCAAAACAATTATAATTATATTATAATTAAATGCAGCACAAACCCGACAGGCTTGTTTGTCTCACTATAGTACTCCACGGTATCAATATGGCAGCTGATAGCCAACTATATATATAACAATTTCTTTATATTTTTTTACACAAATTATTAGAAATTTTCGCAATTAATAAAAGAAAAAGACAATATTTAAAATTAATAAAAATGCAAAAAATAATCATTATCTGAAATAATGTACTGTAATAAATGTATAAAAACGATTTTTTTTTTTCAATTGTATTATTTTTAAAATGTGCATCAGTGTTATGACAATGTCAGTAACAAAAAGTTACACAGTCAAATAAAAAAAAAAAAAGTTTACATTTAAGAAAACATATTTCACAAGTAGGTGCAGCAAGACTTATTTGTGACTCAACAAATAGCCAGCAATAGTTCATTTCCATTTATTTTCTTTCTAACTTTAAAAAAAAAAAAAATTTTATATCCACTGCCAACTAGCAGCGCTGGTTACGTATCACTGGACGTATTTATAGTTGAACTGCGGCAACCAGGATTAGGCCATGACGTGGAATCCACTAGTTTTGAAGCTGTCTTCCAGTACAAAATGGCGTTATAGATTTAGCACTAAAGAAATATTAAGATATGGAGTAATAGTCAAGGTCAGTGGTTCTCAGCCTCCATAATACCACTATCTTTTAATAAAGTTGCTCATGCTGTGGTGACCCCCCCCCACCCCAAACCATAAAATTGTTTTTACTGCTACTTCATAAATATGTGTTTTCCGATGGTCTAAGGCGATCCCTGTGTTTGATCCATGACTTTATCTCCATCTCCTTCCCCGGGGCTCCGGTTGGCAAGTCTGTGGTGGCTTGCCGATTAGGAGTCGCCGGCCTCCTGGTACAAAACCACCATTGCGTGTCCTGCCGGAAATAAAACAGCACATACAGGGCTGCCAAGTTTTACAGTTGGAAGTAACGGCAGAGACTGGGGAGGGATCATGATTACAAGTTACCACTAATGGATATGAGGCGAGAGACTAAGGTGGAGGTCTCTGACTGATGATTCTAGTTACACAACCCTGATAAAGCTTTTCCTATGCAGCCGTTTCGTCCCAGCTACTTCGAAAACTAGTTGCGGGCGTCCAACGCTTCCCGGAATGGGTGGGGGAAGATATTAGGACGTACATTTACCATCCATTCACTCCTAAGTAAGTCGATCGTGTGCAATGTGTGTACGCACTGTGTCGGACCGACGGGGTATCCTTGGGTTGGGGTGGCCTCCAGTGGCACCCAATCGAACGGACTTGGGTGGGGGCTGTCCTGGCAAAGAGATATATCCAACATGCCACTTGGTGGGGCGTGTCTCATGGTTAAGGGTGTGTGCTTTGGGGAGGGCATCAAGAGCTTTAGCTCGACAGCCCACTGATGCCATTTCCTAATGGGATATAGCTCCATCTCCTCTCTGGTCATTTTTTTTCCTTAATTTTTTTCAAAGAATTACTGCTAATGCTAAATGTTTAACATAAGCCCCGGGTGCATTCTTCAGTGGGCGCCATAATCGTTAATTTTTGTGCAAAATATGTGTATACTTTTGTATGGGCAGGGGGCGCCTAACCGGTAGATTTCATTCCGGACGCTTTTCTTTTGCTTGCGACGGGCCTGCAGGAAGTTGTTGAATAGAAGGTGAGTCAATACTGAGACAGATGCTGCAAACACAACTAAAGTATTAATAAGAAAGAGAAACTTTGCCGAACATGCTTTTTTCACAATAAAATCCCTGCTACAACACCTACTTATGTGGCCCGTTGGTCTAGGGGTATGATTTTCGCTTAGGGTGCGAGAGGTCCCGGGTTCAAATCCCGGACGGGCCCCATTCCTTTTTTGGTACAATTCATTAAACATATCAAAAGTCTAATGTACGATTGCCATTTAAATTACACTATCTCGGCTGATTAAATGAAACATGTTTAAGAGCGTTGCTGCAATACTTGCAGACAATTTGAAATTCTGGGGGGGGGGGGGGGGCACAAAACATTGCAAAAAAAAAATATGCGTATTTAACAATTGCTTATTATAAAGAATTTACCGTATTCCCTATTAACTACTAAATTTAGAGGGATACTTTTTTTAAAACTGTATAACACTATGTCACTTCAAATGGCTTGATAATAGTTAATACTTGCTGTCTTTTACAGGTCTCGGATAATTTTTTTGTCAGTCTCTATGACATTGTCATATTCATTATCTCTAGTGTTATAATGCCTCGTGCCCAGATCAGACCTATAGGGTCTAGGACTGAACCATGCGGGAGGCTGATCTCATATTAGTCGTACCTTCGTTCAGTCACCGACTGTCTTTGGATCTGTTTAACGGTTTGAGGTTTTCATCGTCGACATAAATAACGAATCTAATCGAGTGGGTGTTTGAGCTGATGACATTAGCCATTACGGAGAAGTACTTAGAAATGTATTACTTCTTGTAAAAAGAAATGGAAGCTCCTAATTTTGAAGTGTTGACTGAAACGTTTACTATATGAATGAGTGCACCAACATTTGGTTTAGAGAAAAACATCAGTCCTAAGAAATTGGTTACCAAGGCGGAACTAATTAGTATTAAGCATTTCTTGGAGTCTTACGGTATTTTGTATGATAAATATTGATTTGCCAATTAATAGAGTAGTAAAAGGATTATATATATATATATATACAAAGGGCAGAGGGTGATATGCACAAGTACACCAAGGGACAGAGGGTGATTTACACATAAACACCAAGGGGCAGAGGGTGGTATACACATAAACACCAAGGGCAGAGGACGATATACACATAAACACCAAGGGGCAGAGGGTGGTATACACCAAGGGGCAGAGGATGATATACACATATACACCAAGGGGCAGAGGGTGATATACACAGATACACTAAGGGGCAGAGGGTGATATACACAGATACACTAAGGGGCAGAGGGTGATATACACAGATACACTAAGGGGCAGAGGGTGATATACACATATACACTAAGGGGCAGAGGGTGATATACACAGATACACTAAGGGGCAGAGGGTGATATACACATATACACCAAGGAGCAGGGGGGGTGATATACACATATACACCAAGGGGCGGAGTGTGATATGCACATATACAACAAGGGGCAGAGGGTGATATACACATTTACACCAAGGGCAGAGGGCGATATACTCATAAACACCAAGGGGCAGAGGGTGATATACACATATACACCAAGGGCAGATGGTGATATACACATATACAACAAGGGGCAGAGGGCGATATACTCATAAACACCAAGGGGCAGAGGGTGATATACACATATACACCAAGGGGCAGAGGGTGATATGCACATTTACACCAAGGGCAGAGGGCGATATACTCATAAACACCAAGGGGCAGAGGGTGATATACACATATACACCAAGGGGCAGAGGGTGATATGCACATTTACACCAAGGGACAGAGGGTGATATACATATATACACCAATTGGAAGAGGGTGATATACACATATACACCAAGGGGCAGAGGGTGATATACACATATACACCAAGGGGCAGAGGGTGATATACATATATACACCAAGGGGCAGAGGGTGATATACACATATACACCAAGGGACAAAGGGTTATATACACATAAACACCAAGGGGCATAAACACCGATGGACAGAAGGTGATATACACATATACACTAAGGGGCAGAGGGTGATATACACATATACACCAAGGGCAGAGGGGGATATACACATATACACATAGGGGCAGACGGCTACCGATAGAACAAAGGTTACGTTCAGCTATTTCAGTCACATGTTGAGTTCATAATAAGACCATAATCACATCAAGTCAGGTTTAGCTATATACAAATATATGTCAACGGTAATTTGGAATCTGGCTGGCCCATAGAGTTTGCTGTCACACTTTTTAAAGCCATACTGATCACAAATGTCCTATGGCTGTTAAGGAAGAAGCAGTTTTTCACGTCAGGTAAACTGTGATGACGTCATAACGGATATCCAATTTCAAAGAGCATAAGAAAGATTTCCAAATATTTAATAAAGAAAAACTTTTCTCCTAAATTCATTTTTTTTTAAAAGTGGTAATCCTATTGTATAAGAGATAATAACTGGACTGAAGGATAAGTGAAAGGTTATCCTAAACTGGAAGAAATGGACAGGATAAACGATTTGGACGATTCGGCTTAGAGCCTTCGTCAGCAAACAAAAAAAAAAAAAAAAAAAAAAAAAAGAAAAAAGAAAAAAAAAAAAAAAAACAAAGTAAACATCTATGGAGGTCTCCTATGTAGTTGCCGGAAGTAGGATTACAGGAAGTGAAAGAATATAAATAGTGATACGGTGAAAAATAAGGTAGAGAGTCTTAACGGACCAGAATATTTAGGGAGACATACAATCTAAGGAATATTATTTTTTTTAAAGAGAGAGAGAAAGAGAGAGAGAGAAGAAATACAGGGAAATTGAGAGACATTAGTAGGAGAGTATTTGATTCATACCATGTTGTTTCCTATTCTATAGGAGCGAAGTGACCGTGGATCTCATTTTTATAAGCAAATTGACGAAAAACGCTAAATGTGATAAAAGAAAATACATTGAAATTACACGCAGTCTTATTCACATATCAAATTCTTTTAGGAAACCGATTTTTATAATGAACAAATTATTTAGTTTGTTTTGTTTACTGCTTTAAACGTTGACCTCACAGCAAACCCTACGAGACTTCTTTTGGGGAGGTGACCCGTAGTTTAGGAACCAGGATGTTAAGGCATTGAAAAGATTGCCCGGTATAAGAACGTCCAATCTGGGTGGCTCTGGCTCTTAAGTTATTAGTCACAGGAAGAAAAAAAATGATTTTACTAGATTTACTTTTATTTTAAAAGTGTTTTTAAATAATAGTGTAGAGGGAATGGAACACAAAAACCTTTCAAGTGCTTCGGTACATCAAGACATTCATCTTGCTATAAGAGAAGATTATCATGTAGTTTTAACTTCAAGACCTTCATCCTGCTATAGGAGAAGATTATCATGTAGTTTTTACTTCAAGATCTTAATCATGTTATAAGAGCAGATTATCATGTAGTTTTTACTTCAAGATCTTAATCCTGCTATAAGAGAATGTTAATAATTTAGTTTGTACAAGAAGATCTTAAATCCTGCTATAAGAGAAGATTATCATTTATTTTTTTCTTCAAAATCTTAATCTTGCTTTCTAAGAAAAGATTGTTATTTAGTTTATACTTGAAGATCTTAATCTTGTTATAAGAGAAGATTATGCTTTAGTTTATACTTCAAGGTCTTAATCATATTGTAAGAGAAGATTATCATTTAGTTTTTATTTCAAGATCTTCATCCTGCTATAAGAGTAGATTATCATGTAGTTTCCATTTCAAGATCTTGATCCTGCTATAAGAGAAGATTATCATGTAGTTTTAACTTGAAGATCTTAATCCTGCTATTAGAGAATATTGTCATTCTACTTTTTACTTCAAGGTCTTGAAAGTTTGTTCAAGTTTAAAAATCATACTTGCTTTCCATAGATCTTTGTGTTTAATAAAGAAAGTGAGTTATTCCCATGCATCACATTGTTCGACATGAGTCATGCGTCATGTGTCATGTGTTTATATTTATACATTTCCAACACGTCATGGTGTAAAACATGCAGACAACAACCAGTCACGTGATCATAGCGATGGTTTCGGAATTCTGGGAATTTGTTTTCATGATTGATTCTATGATGGAAATTTCCGATACGCTCTTCGGTGGCCTTAAATATAACTGACTCCCGTTGACCTTGTTTTCTTTCAGGGACTCCCAAGTTAAGACTATTAGAAATACGCTAGGAACATTTAATCGATACAATGAAACGTGATTTAAAGCCAATATCATTTTTTAAAGAAATATTTATTTCGTTTTTAAACAAAAATGTATCACATTAAAAGCCTTCACTTTTGATATTCGACTCATTTCTGTGTTACATTTCCCAGAAACGCTAGGGACTCCCGACCTAACTAGTCATATAAACAGAGTTCTTATGAAATTTTCTCACAAAAATTGTAAATCTCTAACAAATGGTCCAAAGTTAATGGTGTGTGATGAAGAACTTGAAACGTATACTTAAATGTATACTTAAACGTATACTTAATCTATGAAAACACGCTGTGGATTTGTTCTATTCGTATTTTCTTTTTCGGGGCGTAGTGTAGTAATATCTAAGAGAACTATTTTTACTACTTGCCGAGAAGCTAAACAAACCTAGGTGTTTCGCTGCACATCCCTAGAGCACAGTAAGAAATGGCCGGACCACTATCATTTCGTGACTTGAACGTGCAATTAAGAATAGGAGAATATTCTTTAAACCAAAACTACCAAGAACCTGTTGAGTTTGGTATTTACGATGATGTAGAGATTGATCTATCAACCCGTCAACTGAATCTCGCACCTACGAGTCATGGGACTCCGATTCCTGTCACAATGGCGAGACCAGATACTGAAAGTTTGCAAGGAAATTCTTATTTCAATGTACCCATTGGTGTCAACGGGGTCTCACACGTCCGTGTCAAAATGGAGTGGAGTTTGAGAATAATGGAAGTAATCACACAGAATCATAGGTAGGTTTGTTAAGAGTAACACACTTTTATTTGAAATATTTCATGAAAGCTTTGAAATAGATTGTCTTCATTCATTATTGGAGTGTACGATATTACAAAGTCATGACCATTTTGTGTTAAATTATAATGACTTTTCGTTTTACTGGTGTTAGTAACGCAACTTCAGATAGTGTTATTTTTGTCAAACCCATTATTATTATTCATTATTGAATAGATTTAATGAGTGTGACTCTACAAGTCAGAAGACACAATCTGTTAGTTACATATTACATATTTTATTACGCCCAAACACATTTTTTTAATATAGTGCTTGTATGCTTCCAAATGACCAATACATCTAGGATGTACTTACACCAATACATCTATGATGTACTTACACAAATACATCTATGATGTAATTACACCGATACATCTATGATGTATTTCCACCAATAATCTATGATGTACTTACACCAATACATCGATGATGTACTTACACCAATACATCTATGATGTACTTACACCAATACATATATGATGTACTTACACCAATATGTCTAGGATGTCTTTCCACCAATACATCTATGATGTACTAACACAAATGCATCTATGATGTACTTACACCAATAATCTATGATGTTTTTACACCAATACATCTTTGATGTACTTACACCAATACATCTATAATGTACTTACACCAATACATCTATGATATACTTACACCAATACATCTATGATGTACTTACACCAATACACCTAGGATTCACTTACAATGACATTTACTTATAATACCATTTTCACTGGCAGCACTTCACCCTATATTTTGTGGTAACAATGGCTACCAAAGTACGAAACCAAAAAAAATATAAATGCTGGAATTATTTCCTATATAGCTGTTCAACTAATTTGCTGGCATCCGTTCGTCACTGAGGGTTTGATTTCAGAGTTGCCATCTCTTAGATGAGTTGCCATCCAAGGTTAACGAGTCCCATCTACCCGGGGTGCTGGTGGTGTTTTTTGCTTGACTGGGCTCTTGCTGGAATTAAGCTCCAGCCAGAGCCCAGTAACTTGAGATTTGCTCAGTTTAGACCACTCGGCCACCCAGCACTAATTTACAGTTTGAATTGACCAGCTTGTGTTTACTAGCTGGTCCACAAGCTGTTTGCTTTCACTGAAGTACACACAGAGCTAGATCGATGATTTAACACTGTGCATGTAGGGCAAGTCATACTACACACGCAACTCTCCTCATGTAGGTTAAAGGTCACACACCGTGCAGATAACAGAACCTTTCGAGACTTCGTTCCTTACAATCCCATTCCCTCTCTTTCTCTATGTCTCCCCCCCCCCCACACTTTCTGGTCCTCTTCTTATCCCATGTTCTTTCAGTTTATCGTTTTCTCAACCCTTCTTGCTCCCAAACCTTTTTAACTCTATTTTTCCTCCTCTCTGCCGCGTCTCTATCTCTCCATTCTCTGTCTCTCAGAACACACACAGACAGATATAGATGCACAGACTGAGCTACGTACATAGGTACATAACTACACACCTAAATACGTACACACACACCCACACGCAACCACCCACACATACAAACAAACATACACCCACCCACATACAGTCATACACAAATGCATACCTATGAATAATGTTATACCCAATGTGTACTATTTCCTGACATTTTAATACTTATTTATTATTATTATTGTTACAGTTATTTTGTTTTTGTCAAATGACATGAAGTTTTACTTACAAATATTTTTTAAAAAAACATTGTAAAAGACGTCCAAGAAGCCTTGACACGATTACAATCCTAACATTGGCCATGATAACAGTTGCTAATCTGGACATTTTTAGAAATATGTATAATATCGCTTCATTCCCTTTTTATTTAAAATCAAGAAGTTGCTTTTGAAATCCTTTATATATTATTTTCGCTTTCGTTCGTGGCCTGCTGTCTGGTTGGCTGTCTGGATGGATGGCCGACAAAATCTTCTGATGGCTGATTGACCCACAATCCGTCAACATATTAAGCTGAAACTTGGCACATAGAGCCATTGCCGATGACAATGCATTGTATCCAGGGCCGGCGCCAGAGTATTTGGCACCCTAGGTGAACCTGTCGCACTGCGCCCCCCCCCACGCCCATGGCAACTAATTATTTAATTAATAGTGCCGGCCCCGAAAAAATTGCTGCCCTAGGCGGCCGCCTAGTCCGCCTTAAATGGTTCAACCGGGGCCTGATTGTATCTCATTTTCAGCCCCAACCCCCAACAATTATTTGCTCCTGTTTTTCAAGGGGAAGATGACGGAAATATGACGCCACTGATGACCAGAAATACAATTCCCGATATCCGCGCTAAATGAGAATCTTTTCAACAAAATTATTTTTGCGTTTTGTGTGAAACATGTCAATGTTCTTTTTTTTTTTTTTCTGAAATCGTTAGTGAAATAAATCTGCATTGTAAAAGTGGGTGGGTCATTAGAATAGTGATATAGTTCAGGGGTGTGAAAAAAAATGTGCGGTTGCGAACCTTGAGTGGGGTGGGGTGGGGTGGGGTGGGGTGGGGTGGNTTTTTAAAATTTTTCTCCCCCCCCCCCCCCCGCTCGATATTACATTTTATAAAGGATTGATACGAGAAGCTCTGTTTGTGGGTGTATCTCATAGAATCTTTTTTTCTTTTTTATTCTGTAGTGGTTCGGCACCCAGACTTTCGTAGTCAAAAAGACGTTTGCAATGATGGATCTCAGAAGTGAAACATTCTTCGAAGAACACAGGAGAATGCACTCAAGTAATTCATATCTCCAAAGTTAACAAATCAGGAAAGTAAGAAGACTCTAAGCCACATGTCACTAAGCGAACTACTTCAAATTAAGATGTCATTTAGCGAACTAATTCTAATTATGATGTCATTTTGGGACCTACTTCTAATTATAATGTCATTCAGCAAACAACTTTAAATTATGATGTGATTCAGCGAACTACTCTGTCTATGATGTCATTCAGAGAACTGCTTTTAATTATGAAGATATTTGTGTAGGCTGTTGTCCAAATCATTCTAAATTTTATTATTATTATTATTATTTAAAATATATCTTGCTAAAATGTATGCAAGTAATGGACATGTAATGTACCCATTGCGGACTGTGCCCAGAAAAGTGTTTAGCACATACCCGAAAGTTGAAGAGTTGACATTTGAAACAGTTGTGCTCCATACAAACCATTGACCCGTCAGATGTGAACCGAATCGTACTGTCACTGTATCTTTCGGTTCACAACAGACGAGATTTGGGGAGCAAGTCAACTGTCTCTGGCTCGGATGGTACTTGACGTGAGTGATCTTATCTTGATTTCAATCTTTGCACCCTTTGTTTGGCAGTCTTATCATACAGCAGGGGTTCTTAACCAGTGGTGTAAGTATCACCTTTGAGTGCGGTAGGAACTGTCAAAAAAGACCCAGTCAATCAGTTAATTGCAATTTTTATCGTGATTGAGTTAGGGAAAATATTTTCAGAAATCGAGATGGGAGTTGCGGGAAAGAGGGGGCTGCAAATATTTAAGAACCCCTGCCTGCCAAACAAATGGTGCAAAGATCGAAATCGAGACAAGATCACTGACGTCAAGTCCAATCAAACTATGCTCATGAGGTACGAGTTGAACTATGCTAATCACTTTTTATTATACATATTGTCTAACGACCACAATGATCTGAAATGTTGTGGTCTAGAATTATGTGGCCATCCTAACTTTGGTTCAAAAGCGTTCCTGACCCACAGAACCTTAATTATGTACCGCTAGTCCTTTAGCAGTGACAGAAAAATGTCTTTGACGCTTGCAAAGCGAATAAACAATCTTCATTTATTTTAAAAGACAAATATGGTTTCTACATGGCGAAACATTACTTTATTTGCAAAGTTTTCTTTAATTTAATTATTTTAAGTCAATAATGTAGAAGTACATGCTTTTTAATACCTTGAGTTTGAGATTTTTTGAAAATGGTAAAATATCATTTTGGACAGAGTACAAATATTATCGACTTCAGTGTTGACGTCATTTTTACTAGAAATAATTTTTTTTTTTGTTACCTGTCCATATTAAGTTAACAGCTGCACAAGTCAGTGCTCGCAATACATTTGTTGACATTTTCATATTTTTGACAGGTATTGATTGTTACAACTTCACACGACAATTTCATAATTTTCTTCTTCCCCTTTTTTATTTTAATAGTATGTGATATTGTGATAATAATTCCTATACATCTAAAATATGTGACCATTTACAACACAACGTATGCAATGCTCAGTCAATCATAAGTGTGGAGCCCACCCCCGACACGCAGAAACCAACTGTTGCCATGGTTACCCTCTGGCTAACTATGGCAACAGTTGGCTTCCGCGCGTCGGGGGCGGGCTCCACACTTATGCTCGACTTACTCGTATGCAACGAATCGAATCTTACTTCCCTGAAGGTGACCTTCGTTTCAGAGCAGACGGGTCACTGAAACAAGCCGATCTTTTGAGGCTGATTCAGTGTCTTGGATTCACAGACTTAGACAGTGTCTTATTGGGAGAATTATTATTGATCGTTTATATTTTTTTACCTCATCGAATTTTTGTTTGGTGCCCATGTGGATTTCGCGAGTCTGCTTGCTGAGCTAGATACTGAATTACGTTGTCTCGACAGAAATGAATGAAATTTGCAGACTACAAAAGTAGTTTATAATTTTATTAAATCGGCATGTATATTTTAACGCCTCTGAAATGTTAGGAAAAAAGCTACTTGAAACGAGATCATGTGCATTTTTGTCATTTTAAAGCAACATTTATCTGTAACATTTTTTTTTTAAAATACGTGTCAATTTTTTTTTTAAATTCTTAGATAGAGCTGAGGTACATCACTAGTGACGTCAGATATGAGTTCAATCACATTAACTTTTTAGGCAACTTTAAACCCTTAGTTACAAAATAACTTACAGTATACGTCTAAACATACAGTCCTGGGTAGCTTGAACGCGTACGTGCGTTTTACAACAGCGAATAGCTCCAGACGTCCCTTGTGAAGGTATGAGGGTAGGCTGTTAGAAATGTTGTCTCTCGATGGAGGAAAGAGCATTCATAGCTTAGCATAAGTTTCTATTTTACCAACATTATTTGCTAAAAATAATGCTCAACTATGAATAGCCTTTCCTCCATCGAGAGACATCATTTCCAACAACACCAGCCCACCCTCATAGCTACATGTTCATTAGACTAGGACCACAACACAGGGTGGCTGGAGCTAAGCACCGCCCACAAAGCACGCACGCCTTCACGATTCGGGAGTTTCCGTACTGTCTTTTCAGGTCATACCATATCTATTTTTAGATCGAGTGTCAGAGTCATCATTTCATTTGCATTCCAGAACAGAAACGATCAATACATCTCTGTAAAAAAAAAAATATATAATATAATTTGGTTAAAAAGTGTTGACAATTTATACAAAATCCATATATCTGTACAGTTTGTTTTTGGATAAATGGCACAGAAATTGAAGGTCAAAGATGCGTTTAAGTTTTTCATTGGGTTACAATAGCATATTATTTTTCTGTCCATACGATGTTGGAAAATAAATTTGGTTACATGCAAAGATAAATTTTAATATGAATTTTCCCTTGAAATTTTTTTTAGACATAATGTGAATGTGATGATAAAATAGTTTAAGTAAGACATAATGTGAATGTGATGATAAAACAGTCCACTCACAGAAATTGTCAGCCATTCTGATTGCCTGATTCATTGCTATTAATTATGTTTTCGCATCTCCTCATTAATTTAAACTGTTGCCAACCGTGTGTATTCTTTACTTGAAGTACCCTGAAACTATGAGGTACTACAAAACCCCAATTCTGTTTTTAACTTATCAATATTTACAGATAAATGACAAACCTATAATTTTACTTTATGAATAACAAACCTATAATTTTACTTTATGAATAACATGTCTCAGTCTCTCTCTCTCCCCTCTCCCTCTCTCCCCCCCCCCTCCCCCCCCCCCCCCCGGCCCCCAACCGAGGGTCATATGCTAGCAATGTTGCCAAACTGTATTGATACTGAATACGAAAATTTTACCATAGCAGAAATTAATTACCAAAATATATCACGCAACACATGACAACGGTGTTGAATTGATGTCAATGTCATATTTTTTAAAGAGCTCTTCCAGAGCACAACCTATCACTGGTATTTTCTCATGAGCGATTTTGAATATTTTATTAGTAATAATCATTAAGAAAAACAAATTTTTCAAGTTTATTTGATAGACTTTTTACGATTTCCCTTATCGAAAATTTATTTATGTTTGTCTGTATCTTGTCCCTGTTGAAAACATGTAGAGTATTATAGAAAGGGGAGGACAACTTGAAATCTTGACCAGTAAACTGTTTTGTGAAATCCTCGTTAATGTAAACTTAGCGATTTATTTCCAGCACTAAAGAGTCGTCTTCTCTTTGCTATAGATCCTCAGCTTTGTTCTTCCTAAAATAGAAAATAAAATCCGAGTACAGAAAAAAAAAAGTGTTGTATTGTTTCTTCACCTTGTCTAGTTATAGTTTTAGTATTGATCAATCACCATGTCATATCATGTCATGCTGTGTCATGTCAGTGTTGCGTTTGTTTGTTTACCTGACCAAGACGTGAAGAATTGAGAGGTAATTAATGTGCCGCAACTATCGACGCCCCCCCCCCCACCCCCCGCCCCTTCTAAAGCTTACTTAATAAATGGTTGCGTATCATTAATATAATTACAGGCACATTTAACGATATATATCTATATATATATATATCTATTTATCTCTCTATATATCTCTCTCTCTATATATATATGTGTGTGTGTGTATGTATATATATATATATATATATATATTTATATATATATATGTATATATATATATATATATATATATGTATGTATATATATACATGTGATGTTATTTTTTTGAATTATACGTGATGTTATCTTTGTGTTTTATATGTGGTGTTATCTTTGTATGCGTATCATAAATATAATTACACGCACATTTAACGATATATATCTCTATATATATATATCTATTTATCTCTCTATATATCTCTCTCTCTATATATATATGTGTGTGTGTGTATGTATATATATATATATATATATATATTTATATATATATATGTATATATATAAATATATATATATATGTATGTATATATATACACGTGATGTTATCTTTGTGAATTACACGTGATGTTATCTTTGTGAATTACACGTGATGTTATCTTTGTGAAGTACATGTGATGTTATCTTTGTGAAGTGCATGTGATGTTATCTTTGTGACGTACATGTGATGTTATCTTTGTGAAGAACATGTGATGTTATCTTTGTGAAGTGCATGTGATGTTATCTTTGTGACGTACATGTGATGTTATCTTTGTGAAGTACATGTGATGTTATCTTTGTGAAGTACATGTGCTGTTATCTTTGTGAAGTACATGTGACTAGAGACCGACCGAATTTCGGTTTCAGCCGAAACTGAAAAGTTAAGTTTCGGTCTATTTTCGGTTTCGGCTGAAAGTCATAGAGACTTTCGGCCCTCTGGCCGAAAGTGAAAAATGCTTTCTGTCTTCAACCAGATGTAAGATTGTCAGTCTGTCTGATGGCTGGCAATCGGATATATTAATTATTGTGCGACGTATTGCTGTTATCGGTAATATATAGCAAATTAGTTGCGAACACTGTTCAAAGCTGAATGATGACTGACTTGTCCAATATTTTAAGAAATAAAATTTCAATAGGGCAAAAGGAAAGGTTAATAATTTTTTTATTGTTTTTTTTTTTTGGCGGGGGGGGGGGGGAATACTATTGGGAATGGTAATTTTTATATTATTTTTTCGTTTTTTTGTTTTGTTTTGTTTTCCCTGGGCACACTAGGTTTATTTAATTCTTTTATTTGGGAAATACATTTTCTTTTATAATAATTTTTTTATTTTTTTTTTTTTTTGGCGGGGGG